TTTTCAATGGATGCAATTGTGACAATATTATTTGAGAACATATACACGAAACGAGAACGAGTAAAATTCTGAATGAAAAGGTTTTTTTTGAAGCTTTTATTTTCAAAATAACATTTTGAAGATTCACAAAGCAATAAAATTCTACTTTTGTTCACATAGAGTTCAAAACAGTTTAACAAAAAACACTTTTAAATTAATTTTTAATATCGAAATCAACTGCTCTGACTTTTTTGCACAAAGAAATCAGTTGACAATGTAGGCTGGGTAAGACCAGCAAGGTCTAGTTCTTTCATGAACTCGGATGACAACGTTGCTTTAGTTGCTTCATTATCATCAGATGTAAAATTTGTCAGTTAGGCAATGACATTACAACAGTTTGCAATGAGGTCAAACATGCCTTAGAGCTTCTGGAAGCTGTCACACTGAAACTTCCATGGTGTTCTAGCGACGTCACAAACACGTAGAGTACTGCACCTGTCTTTGATATTCACCATGTTAAATTACGTGGCTAAAAGATTTATGAAACATACTGGCATTCTTCTACGTGCAGTTTCGTTTCAAAGGTAAGTAACGCTGCGCTGCTACTGTTTCTTCATGGAAAATTTGGCAAACCAAAGGTACACTGTGACGCTGCTGTGAAACGTGCAGCTGTCCTTCTGTCTTTGTCGTGCTGTGCTCCACATCACAGCAGTGTGCAACGAATCTCTGACCATCTTCAGTAAAATGAAGATATTGTTGTGGCTCAGCAATTCAGCTATTTCAAATATTTTCAAATACATGCTCATAGTCATATATGATACAAGGAATACTTTAGTGACATGGCCTGGAAGATTTACCAGCCCCGCAAATGATACCAGCGCACAAAATCTCGATCACCTTCAGATTTCACTACCAGGCATCAATCATTCTCTTTTTTTTCCTTCTTTGCATCCACAACACCACAACCACTTTTGCTTTGAAGGCCTCTAACTCGTCCTTGATTTCAGCAAGTTGTTCTTCCGAGATGGATGTTTTCTGTTCGTCTGGCTCCTTCTCGTGCAAGATAGGTTTGTCAATTTCGTGTTTGTGTTCAGTTTCATTTCTTTTATTTCGTTGATTTTTTAGCAAATATTTTTGGTATGTACATAAACCACTTTGAACGAGGTAAACACATTCCAAGCAACACTATCAAAATTTTTATAAATTTTTAGATTTTTAGTGGAGAATTATTTTTGACAATTATTTTGAAACGCAAATCTAACATGCTTACAAATAAAAAACCATTTTTTATTCAATATTCATAAACAATTTTTTTTCTGACATTTATCTCCCAGATAAATCTATCAAATAAATTTTTTAAATGTTGAAAATATGCACGATAAATCTACATGGGACATTGAAATGTTCTGTAACAGGTAGATAAAATCTATGAGTCATGATGATAAAAAACAAAAAATGTTGCCTATACAAAATTTTTAAAAGAGTATCTAAAATAATTTCACTCAAATAATTAACAACATTCAGTTTATACTTCAACAAACTGTATCAGAAATTTTAAACAATATATTTAAATATAATATAATTTATTTTTTTCTTATTTCAATTAAATAAATAAAATAAAAATAAATCATTTACATCGCTATGTCAATCGTTTGTAGAAGACAACTTCGCATCAATACGTCTTTATTATTGTAATATCAAAAACATCTGCATGCTCAAAACAATAAATTTCAGAGCAAAATTTTCACAAGCTGAATGCAAATATTGAAATACTTATACGCAAGAAATTTGGTGATTTGAGAAAGTTTGGAATGAATTGAATGGTGAACATCATCAGAATATTATCTCGCAACTTGAAATAAAGAAGAATTAGCATCAACATGAAAACATCAATTTTGCTTTTGCTTTTGGTTATCGCTTGTTCAACTCATTGCCTAAGTATGACATTTTCAACTTTTTCAATAATCTGTCATTAACTCAATTAAAATAGTAAAAACGTTTTGAGACTACTGTGTATAATTCTAAATTTAATTTTAAATTTCAAGGTCAAACTGATGAGATGAAAGAGCTGGAAGCTAACTTCAAAGAGGATATCAGGGATATTGATGCCCAGTTGAACGACGTCATCGAGAACTTGCAGCAGCAAGATTCGGAAAAGAAGAAATGAATATTCTGGACTGAAAAAAAATGGAGGAACGGTTTACACAATTTAAAAAACAACATTTATTTAAATAACATAGAATATGATAAACCTTTGAAAAAAACTTTTTATTTCATGCATCGTCAGTTTTTTTTAAGATTTAATCCTGCCTTCATTTGTTATTATTCTCATTATCCAAACAATTTTTAAATTGAGTGCATTCAATATGATATCAAGGATACAATCAACCGTTTAAAAAAGCCAAATGAATCTAAATGCACACTAGTAATAAGAATTTAACGTTGAAAACATTGTACGCAACATTTAATCAAAAAAAAATTATTTAATAACTGATTTAACAATTTTTCATAGTCTCCATTATTGCTAATAAATTCTCTCCACGTGTAGTTTTGTGAACGTAGATTACTAACATTAATGGTGGGTAGGGGAGGGGAGAGCCAACCAAGAAACCTTGCGGAACCGGCCACTGTTGGAAACAAAATGAAACAAGTCCCCGTCTAGTTATTCTGCTTTTAAAACATTTGGTCATCCTCAAAATGTTTCACAAATTTTTTGCATTTTCATCGTAACTTGTTAGTTATTGTATCAATTATAAATAATAATTGGATGACTTTTTACAATTTTGCCAATGAACAACTGTTATGTGCTGCAGTTTATTCTGTTTTTTAGAACTTTTCAATCGGTAGTTGGTTGGAAACGAGCCTTCCTGCATTACACCACCAGAGTTTGGAGATAATTTTTCTTTACATATACATAATAATGGATTTCATTTTTAAGTTATAAATCTGGTTATTCTAAAATTTGGGAGCTTCATGCTGCCGAATTTAAAATTTAAAAAATAGCAACTAATCCGTACGACGATTCTCTCTTTCCATGCTAAAGAGAGCCATGAATGTTGCATGTAAAGTAAATTTTTTTACCTTTTTAGCCCACTCTCAACAACAAATAATAGATGATTTGTTAGAAAAGTGAAAAGGTTAAATAAATAAAAAGTAATTGTTTCTATGAATGATGACTTTATGTACAGCAAGGAATGTCACTGTCCCCTCCACATGAAGCTTCCAAATTTTAGAATAACATTCAAAATATTTTGACTCCATTGACCCCCTAAAGAACGAGTAAATTGGTTTTGTTGGTCTATTGTATTGTAGGACTACATGACACAACGCTGACTGAGAGGCTGCGTAGGCAAAGAAAGGATTGAATTCATCGATGATTGTTGTTAATGGTTTATTTTATTTCTTCGTTATTAAATTATTTTCGTGTCAATACAGCTTAAGTATTTTGTAATGTCTTGATGTTCATACACTTTTCGTAAAATAAATATCACAAAATTATGGTGATTATCACCTCACATTGACTTACGGACTTATATGGTCGGTTCAAGTTGTTTTTTTTGCTAAATACCAAAATTGTTAAATTTTTCTTGTTGCAAATTATTTAAAATATAAAAATTGTTATCAATTAAAAAATTGCTCGCTCTTTGTTTGCAGCTTAAGATAATGATGATTTAATTTTGTTGTAGTTCGATTTAGTTCGTCCTCTGAACGTTCAAATATTATCAACTAAAAATTTCAAAACATAAAAATTATTGCCGATGCTGTTCTAATTGTTGTTTCTTTTTTTTTAAATTTAACAGACCAACAAATAATTTAGAATCACATATTCTTAATTATTTGTTGATTTTATGCCAATAACTCACCTAATTATCATTCAAATTGCAAGTATATTGAACCATCTCTTCAAAAGTTATTTTGAAATTAATGTTTCAAATAAAATAAAATTTGTTGCATTTACATTGTCCTACTACTCTTGCTTATTCTTTCCTAACATAACTACTAGTTTGAAAAAAAACATATCAATATTTATTGCAGTGAACTAACACAAACATGTACGCTTGTGAGTTGTCCATGTACAAATGTACATACAGATATTAAACTGAAATTTAGTTGCAAGCAAGGTTTCGTATGTTTCTTGTCCGTTAAATTAAAACGCAAATATTCAAACTTTTGAATATTTAATTCTTCACTTACGAAGATGAAATTACCTCTTGTTTTAAATTAACATTTGATAAACTTTTAGCCTAACTAATATTTATTGTTGGAAACATTAATCCATCAAATCGACATCACATATATATATATATATATATATATATATATATATATATATATATATATATTGATTTATTTACTTAAACACCACTGAAACTGATGAACCAACCAGCTCTTCCAAGTTAAACAAATTTTCTTTCAGAAATTATTCCGTCATCACGTTATGAATTAAATGCAACATTATGCAATAGTTTAAATACGTATGAGCATGTAATAAAAATCAACTGGTGAAAAAGTTTAATACTTTAAACCTAATATTAAAAATTGATGCGGGGAAGAAGAATCTCGCAATCAATCACTGTCTTCCTCCTCCTCCTCCTCCTCCCCCTCATCGCTGTCCTTTTCATCTGTTTCATCATAATCCTCATTATCATTCTCGATATGAATTTTACGCTTCTTCTTATTTTTTGCTGCCTTCTCAGGAGCAGCTGAACTTTTAGCAGCTGCAGTTATCGAGGCTGATGCAGCTGATCAACCATTATACAATTCTTTCTCCCTTTCGTATCTTTCTTTATCTTTGGCAGCTATGCTTTGATATTTTTCTTTGCTTTCGCACACTTCCCATCTTCTACCTAATTCCTAAGCAACCTCCCTGAAGACCATAGCTGGGCACTCTGTTTTAATTTTTGGACGTTCTTCATTTGAAAAACAGGAAAATGCAGACAGTGCCTTCTTTGGCGCGTCGGGAGCTTTGGTTTTTCGTTTTCTTTTGTTGTCACCATCAGTGATACGTAGTTGGCCATTTCTTATTTGTATCTAACTGAATCATTGGCTGCCATTTTCTTATATGTTTTCCTGTCTTCGTCAAACAAATTTTTCCACTTTTCAGAAGCTTTTTTGGAAAATTTCAAAAAGGACAGAGGCTTACCGGAATTTTTCTTCTGCTCGTCTCTTGTTGCCTGCATAAAGAATGCATAAGCCGACGTCTTGCCTTTCGGTTTTTTTAAATCTTTCCCAACTCTACCCATATCGTTTGATTATTGAATAAAAATCGTAAATTATTTTCTTCAAACCCCAAAAGATTTTCTAACCCACACGGTATACGCAACAATGTAGGGTGGAAGTACATTTGTACAAACAACGAAGTTACGGCTATGCCACTTGCGTCCAATCGATGTTGTGCACGGGTGGTCATATACAACTGTTGTATATAAGACATTCGCTAATGAAATCGAATACACTTATTAATTAACATAAAATGACCCATTGATTAACATTTAGCAAGTAAGCAATGAATACATTCAGTACATTTCAAGTTAATAACTCAGTCACAATCCAATGCGAGTAATTATTGAAATGTTTAAATAAGCAAAATTAATAAACACATTCGAGTGACTTACAGTTGTACGTTAATGAAAATAAATTATTAAACTTTGAATACACAGAAAACTGTCAACCATTCAAATAAACCAAGTAAATCATAATGCACCCTGGTATTAAGAATCTAAATAATACGTACACGCAAAACGAACGTAAATGAAAAGAAACACGGTGAAATACAAACACGATAATGACAGCAAAATTTGTCTGATAATTACATAAAGAATTTGATAAAAAACTAATTGTTTACCAAAACATCTAAAATTAACACTTAAAAAACCTAAAATGTATTCTTATAGAAGCGACTTAATCAGAACATCGGCATTTTTCATCCACATGACGAATAATTTATTTCACCGAAATCAATATGGGTTTTTGCCCGGACGATCGACGACTCTTCAGTTGCTGACATTTTTGGATAAAGTTACAATGATGAGGAGGTACACGTCATATATACTGATCTCGAGAAGGCTTTTGATAGGATATCCCACAATTGTTTGTTACTGAAACTAAAGAAATATGGATTCGATAACAAAATTCTTGTTTGGATAAGTGAATATCTTAAGAAGAGAAACTTCAGGGTGCGAGTGGGTGATGCATTGTCTTCAAAGTTTGATGCTACTAGTGGAGTTCCCCAAGGTAGTATCCTGGGACCTCTACTGTTTACAATTTATATTAATGATCTCCCTTCAGCATGTGAGAATATATATCTTTTTGCGGATGATGCAAAGATGTCTAAAATTATCAAAAGTCCAGATGACTTGAAGTCCATGCAACTAAATGTGATCAATGTGCGAAATAGGCTAAAAGTTCAAAGAAGAGCTACTAGATCTATCCGTTCTTGTTATGGTTTAGAGTATATTGATAGATTAAAAAAAATTGAACTTGCATTCTTTGAAATATCGAAGAAGTAGAGCGGACCTGATTTTTTTATATAAAATGTTGGTGGCCAATCCAGATACTGATCATTCGTTCATGTTGCTCAATAATAATGATGGGAGAACTAGAGGGCATCATATAAAGTTGTCAACAGGTTTATCTCACAAGGATGTTAGAAAATATTTTTTTTGTAACAGAGTTCCGCAATCTGTTGTTGACTCTCCAAATACAAGGGTTTTTAAATCTCGTTTGGATTTGTTTTGGGGTGATGCTAAATTTCAATATAGGTGATACTTTAAACTGACGGTTCAATTGGATGTGTGTGTTGATAAGTAGGAATGGTTTGATGTTTTTAATCTATTAGTATGATTGAATAAGAATTTTTCATGGATGGATGGGAGTGGATTAATGAGAGAATTACTTATGCAACATTTATAATACTCATTGTTATGAGGTTAATGTAATAATTATCATATGGTAAAAATATGAGCATAAATATAGGTAAAAATATGTATTTGTCTTATTTTTTATCAGTAATGACTGGGAATATGTATGATTGATTTGGATTGATTATTTCATTACCCATTTTATGGTTGAATGCATGTGCGTATTTCATTTATAAATTTTTTGGTTAATTATATTTTATATTGACTTCATAACTTTCTTATTATTATTATTGTTTTTCATATGATTGTTTGGTTTTTTTTTTATTGACTGGTAAATAGTTAATGAAATTTCTAGGTTCTAATATAATTATCTGATATAATAATTAATGATTGTATAGTGATAATGTTTTTTTGAAGGTGTTAATGGATATTATGTATGGTAAGCTGTTTAAAACATGGATTTATGAGTAGGTGGGTATATGAGTTGGTATGTTTTTCAAATAAATTTGAAAAACATACCGTGCTTTGTTCAAATAAATAAATAAAATAAATAAATAAATAACTCCCCTTCCAGTTAATGGCACGGTGGACATCTGGATCTGCACATCAATGGTTCTATTAGATCCGAGGTTGGCTTCGTAGTTCCATGCGCAGTAGCAGTTTGTTATACTTAAAATTCATTAAGCAATTTTATCTGGTAATCTAACGTCCATTATTGTACAGTTTTTATTCGTCACGCTGAAAACTTTTCCCAAATGCAATGCATTTAATTCTTATTTACAAAAAAGTAATATTGAACCAAAACTCATCAAATCAAATGAATGTTTGATGATTGTTCACGTAAACACACATCTGATAATAGGAACATTGGTGGTGGTATGAAGTCACGACACGTTTTTAATGTAGATCTAATGTTCGTATCAGTTTTTAAATATCATATAATGAAATGTATCATACACTAGTATAAAAAAAATATGTATGCGTGCAATATTTAGAGCAGGGTTGGGCACTTTTTTCTGCGAGGCCCGCATTGAGAACTATTTTACCTTTGAAGGGCCCATATGTACTTAATTAGCAAATTTGTTCGACCCGAAAAAAATTTTTTTTTAAGATTTGTGGCTTCTTTGTAGTTTGCCACCCCTCTCTTATTTTTCTGATTTAAAGGATTATTTCGGGCAAGAAAACAATTCCTAATCAGTGAATAGATCGTTCATTGATTTTATACCAATCCATCATGCATGTAGCGTTCGAAAAAATCATTTTCAACAAACGACATAACAACATTGCATGTCTTCTCCTAGACACAAAACACTTGTATTATTAAACTAAAATATGTTACAGTATACTAACATATTAAATATTATAATAATATAAAATAATATTATCATATATTTTACTAAAATACTAATATTTATTATACTTAGTTGATGTTAGGTTCAGGTTGATACAATGATAAATTACTTTTAACACAAATAAGAACTTTGTGTTTTAAACATTCAATTTATGTAGAAGCATTTCACCATTGTCATATGTATTGTAATTATTATTATTATCATTATTATTTTTGGGCCCTAAGATCTGGCAATTATTTGTACCCCCAGATATTAGGGTTATCACTGAATTGTACCATTTTAAAATTAAACTGAGATCGCGGTTAAATTTGCTTGATCCCGACACCACCATCTAAATCTTAACCTTTTATATATTACACTATATATGGCTCATTTCATCGCTAATAATTATTTTAAATTCAGCATATGTTTCTGTCCACTTAGACTCGTTTATTCATCTCTTCAATCAATCCATACTTTTAATTATTGTATCAAATACTATAAATTATCTCACATTGCCAATCTACTTTCTGTTTTTGATTGTAGATTCATTAGTAATATCTGTATATACTTATATGTTCAGATATTAACTTTGTTTTTCGAGTGTTAATCCTACTGATTATATTTATCGATTTTTGCATGCATTGAAATTTAATTTGTATATTTTCTGTTCTGTTTTAAATTGCATATATATCTCAAGTAAAGTACTTAGGGTGGCCTCTCCACAAGTTTTTTCATTTAAACTTATTTGGTTCCCTTATTGAAAATAAAATAAATAAAAAAAAAAAAAAAAAAAAAAAAAAAAAAAAAAATAAAATTTATTATTATTATTATGACCCCTTTTAGTTTAAGGCCTGCATCTTGACACCTGTCCAATCAAACTGGTTGCTGGCTGTAAAGATCAGCAATGTTTATTTTTGTGGAAACATTTGTTTTATTATTAACAGGTAAATAATTACTCGAGTAAATTCAATAATTTTTGATTGTTTCATATGAATCTTTTCAAATAAAGTTTTATTCAATTTTTTTATTTTTAAACTAAAAACATTTATCCTAATTGCAATGATTTTTCAACCAACAAACAAACGCATGCACACATATACACAGGTATATAAATTTTCTACGTACTTACCAAAAAAATACATATACAATAAATACAAACATTTATACACATTGCATGTCTGAAGATAGCTCACTAGAGGCTCTCGACAAAAGTCTACAATACAATACACACAAACACGCACAAAAGTACCTGAATTATAAATGACAAACTGTTTGGATAAAGGCAAGTTGGAATTGTCGACAAACGAGATGGCTTTTTGGTAGGCGCCCTGCTGCCAGACGAACAACCACTTCCCTCTCCACAGCATGCTGCTGACATCCAGGTTGACGCTTTTCAAGTATGGAACAGCATAGGAAATTAAGTTATGGGGTTCGTCGCACGTTTGCCCGACAACTACTGTGCCCAGTGGTGTGTTCTGGTTTTGATCGGTTGAAAGGACGAGATGTTAAATAATCTTTTTGATTACAAATGATGTAATCATACGCAAAAAAATTGAATTTGACGGTTTTTAAGAAAAAGAAACGATTTTATAATCACGGGGACCTTGAAATGCCTTTTTTTGACGAGGGAATGAAAAGAGTTACAAATTTTTTATTCCAAACCTTTAAATAATTTGTCATCATCGTAACATGAGTCAGATTTCCATAGAGATCAAAGTTACAAAAATCGTACAACATCATCTTCTGCATATCTAGCCTGTAGAAGTTGGCACCTCTGTTGATACCCAACTGACATGCATGTTCCATGTTCACTGTGTTCAATTCATTCGCCTCTATTGAATATGGGGATATGTCATTACCTCCCCACGAGGCTATGTTCATGTAAATGGCTTGATCTGGCGATTGTTTATAAATTTGTTTGTGAATAACTTTTTTATTTAAAGATTAAAAATAACGAACTACACACTTTCAACTGCCGACAAGAGGAAACAGTTATTCTGAAGACTCTTGCTCAAACCATCGGGAAGTCCCATGAAATGAGAGCAAGACACATCATATTTCCCAACAACACTTGCAGAACTCCCCACGTTCACTTGGAAGGCTGAACATGACCCATTCGACAGCTGGCACCTGACACCACATTCCAAAATATATTTTTTCGGATTAGCAAAGAAATTATTATCCCCAGTTTTGTTGAAAGCCAGAGATTTTTTCACCGAATCAGAGCAGAGTGGAGATGGTTTCCATATCAGTTTGCTGTATAATTTACCATGTGACAAGGTTAAAGCTACAGATAATGTTATCAAAAATGTATAATATAAAAGCGTTTTAAAATTTAGGATAGAATTAAGTAAATTCATTTTGATTCTTAGGTAGGGCTCATTAAAACATCAAATCTCAATTTTATTCGAGAACAAATTTTAAAGCAAACATTACAGACATCGTGCCTTCATTCATGTTTAAACACGTCCGAGGAACAAAATATTTTTTGGCAAATAAATTTTTTCACACGCAACTTTATCATGAACAAAAATTTTTTCGGCCGTGAATTTTCAAAAGAACGACGTTTTCTATTTTTAATATACACCGCGGCGTAGAGAATACAATTCGTATAGGTTTACAATACGTAAAAGTTCAGCAGGTTCGTTGAGTTCTGTTTACAATTTAAATGTTTCAAGTAACACGCATACACAAACACACACATACACACACACACACACACACATATATATATATAATATATATACATATACATATTCTTATACATATATGCAATATGTACCTGCTATATTTTTTTTCAAAATGTACTTCGGGGTCCAAATCTAATTTTTTGGAGCTGAGCCCCTCACAGTCTACCTACGCCACTGATTGTACACTTATTGAATTATTATTGTTATTAATGTTGTTGTTGTTGTTGTTAGTATCATTATTATTGCTATTGTTGATTTTTAAAATAAGCGAATTTCTTCGTTATTGTTCCTGGCATATTCGACGATAAATTAAACTCAGTTAATTTCCATTCATTTCAAAACATCTACCTAAATATTTTTATTAGTTTTAAACATCAAAATTGTACCAAATATATGTGCGTGTGAGTGTGTACGAGTGTGTTAATTTGCGCGTGTGTGTGCTTGCGTGCCTGTCTGTGTGAATTCATGCATTTTTGTAATTTTCATGGTTTTGCTAATTAATTAATTTACTGCATTCAATCGCGCGGTTTTTAAAATAAGCGAATTTCTTCGCTATTGTTCCTGGCATATTCGACGATAAATTAAACTCAGTTAATTTCCATTCATTTCAAAATATCTACCTAAATATTTTTATTAGTTTTAAACATCAAAATTGTACCGAATATATGTGCGTGTGAGTGTGTACGAGTGTGTTAATTTGCGCGTGTGTGTGCTTGCGTGCCTGTCTGTGTGAATTCATGCATTTTTGTAATTTTCATGATTTTGCTAATTAATTAATTTACTGCATTCAATCGCGCGGTTTATTCCCATTCAAGTTATCTAAATTTTGTCTTGATTTTAAAAATTTTGTTTTCGCAGTGTACTGAACATATGTGTTTGTGTACGTGCATAAGGGTGTGAGTGCGTGTGAGTATGTGTATATGTGTGCGTGCAACAGCGTGCGTGCGTGTGAGTTTGTGTATAATAGATATTTTTAAAACTGCAACAACAAAAATTTGGTGTATCCAAAAATGTATCTTCATGCGTAGCGTAAATTTGTTCATCAAAATATGTAATGTAGTAAACATAGAATTCTAGAATAGCAGTAAAAATGGAAACCTTAACATGATTGGTTAAGGTTAAAGTGCTATGTAATATTTATTATCCTTGCTTTATTAACTGTGCTCAGTGGCGGATTAACGCACAGGCACAACAGGCACCGACCTGGGGCGGCAAATTTGGAAAACTAGTTAATTAAAAATGTTCAAGTTGAATAAAAATAATTATTGAAATTGATACTTTACTCGAAATTATGGTGTTCAAGTTTATATTATTTAAAACTTTAAAAAATCGATTAACAGTTGCCGTTCGTTCCGATCATATACTTAATTAAAATGCATGTATCGGAACATATAGCCGATAATGTCATGCAAAAAAATCGTACTTTTGTCACTGGAACAATAATTCATTAGTGACTAACGAATGACTACAAGTGGCGCTAAATTGTAACAATATGTACGAATACCGTTTTTTTATTCATGGTCGCGTTTTTCACAATAATTGTGTACATAGCTACAAAAATTTGAACGCAGTTAATTATGTTAACTGTTCGCTAATAATGACACAACAAACTCAAACATAACGGCAACGGCAACAATGAAAAGCGTAAAACTAAATAATTTCTAGCGATCAAATAAAAATTACTTTACTATTGCCTGTTATTTTACAAAAGTTTTTGTTAATGAGTTTGATGAGCTTGTATTATGATTTATTTGATTACTAAACGTTAGTTATTAATCTAAAGATAAAGATACAACTTATAAATAAAGGTACGTAGTATATGTGAGCGATAATATTTTTTTTCCAATATATGTAAATTTAATTATGTGGATGTGGTTCGATCATTGAATTAGATAGACCATTTTTTAAATTCGCTATCTTGTCTTGTCGTGTTAAGGCCATATTTGTAGTTTCATAAAAAGAGCTAAAATGAGCGATGGTAGAAAAAGATTAAGTGGGAGTCAATATGCAAAATTGGCGCAATGTTTAAATAGAAAAAAAATTTTTTCGAGTGGATTGTCTTGTTATTATAACCATTTGTTCAAGATATCCGTGTTTTTTATGCCCTAGAGAATTATATTGATTTTTTTTCGTTTTGTGTTGGCTTGTACGATATGCAACTATAGAGAGTTTATATAGCAATGAGTTTTTGTTTTAAAGTTGGTGTGGTCTTTCAGAATCAAAAAATATCACAGTAATTTGTTATTTATACTTTTTAGTATACATTATTTCTTTAACTGTATAATTGAGATCTTATATTAAATTATTATATATTATAAACAGTTCATAGTATTTTTCAAGCCCATCCCTAAATATCAAAGAGGTTTACTTTTAATTATTAAATAGACACGAGGCCGGTGACGCACGTTTCTTTGTTCAAAGTTTCGTGTGGTTAGATTCTTTTGATGATTGTTATTCAATTAATATTGAGATGTGAATGTTCTAATTTCTCAATCTCGATGAAAATGCCTAGAAGAAAAAATTTAGCAGCTGAGATAGGTTCGTTTTTTACCTAATTTTTTATTTAAATTTAATAAAGTTTCTGTTAAAAACTTTTTCTGTCTTTTCTTTTAGCACGAGGCTTCGTCCTCCACATCCGCGTGTCGACATAATGTCATGTTACAAAAATTTACCAGGTCCACGATAATTAAATATACAAATGACGTATTTTAAAATAGCTTTATTAATTTTCTTTCAATTTGACACGTTATTTGACGGAAAACCTGCCACCAGCTCATCAACATCATATTCGTCGTCGTCATCATCATCACTGTCTACAGTGCCACAAGAATATTCACCATCGTCGTCATCGTATGAAAGTGCATCATCATTCTAGCGAAGTTTTTGCTCGACTAGCTGACACTAACAATTATGATATACATCAGAGCAACACCAATGAAACCGTAAAGGAGAGAGAACATGCCGACATAACATAACTGCATGGAGATAAATCGTCATTGGCATAATATGATTGTGTTTGAACTAGCTTATTGCCCATCTACACGCATAAAATCTATAAGCCAGATCTTTAAAATCTACATAAATAATCTAATTTTGCGGGCTAAATCCTCTTTTATATTTGAAATTTTTTGACTGTAGTGTTCGCTCATATCTGTCAGATGCGTTTTTCTATTTTTCTATATCATGAACTGAACAACTCGCTTTTTAATATAAAAAGTTTGTAAGAAAAATGAGAGCAAAACTGAGTGAATTATTTTGTAATTTTTTATATGAAATAAGTTAACATCCAAAAAAATAAATTCATTCGTATTCATCCACATCATCGCGGTCCTCCTTTTCTCCATCACCTTCATTACGTCATCATTCATGTGACCATCATTCGCGGGGCAATACTCATTGACATGAGCTCCTGGAAGAGAAGTTTGCACGCATAGGGCAGCCGGATCTGAGATATCTGTTTGTGTGGTGATGTGGAGATTATGATAATGATAAAAATTGTAGTGATGGTGATGATGATGTAAACTGTGATGGCGATGAGGATGACCGTGATGACAAAGGTGATAGTAAAATAGAAACAAATTAGAATTAGCCACAAACCTGCGTCTTATTCTTACATCCTCTGCACTCAAAATTCTGATTCCTGAGATTGGCAATGCAGATGGAGACCAAGAGGGTTACGAACGTGCACAGGTATGGGGTCAAGACCCCGAACAACCTTTCCTTCAAAAACTGGGCAGCCCCATGTGCAATCTGACAATCACGCTCCATCTCGCCGAAACGTAGCCCACCATCTCTGTTGAAGTAAAATTAATCATATTATTAGCTTGGTTAAACATGAATTATAACGACATATATGAGACAATCAAACAAATCACACAACCATCTCAATCACAAACCAACCAATCCAACTCAAATCAACAAACCAGCTGATCACAATCGACCAACCAGCCAATCACAAATCGACCAAAATACCAACCGACCTTGATCTACCCTCCATAGGTTGCCTGTTTAAAATCTGCACTGGACCTCTGGCCCTGGAATGTATCTTGTCGTCCACCATATGCTTCAACCTCTGGTAGTACGTTGGTCCGATGAATATCTGAGAAACTATCTTGCGACCGGTGTGACCGTTGTAGACAACCTGCAATTAGTGCATTAGAAAATTTTTTATAACATACTTTTAATTCAAAAATTAACAGAAAGCATTTTCTATAACTTTGTAACAAAGAGCTAATTTTAATTCGAGAATTAACAGTGAGCAAACAAACGACAGACCTCATTTCCGTGCATATGATACCCATACCCCTTGAGAACATCGGATATTTTTCTGACATTGACAGTATCATTGAATGGGGTAGCGTCTGCAATCTCACCCCTATTAGCCGCCACCTTACCCTGTAGGCACTCAATCAAGTGACCAATCGTCATACGAGAAGGAATAGCGTGCGGGTTGATGATGATGTCCGGGCTGATGCCCTCTGCTGTAAATGGCATATCCTAAATTGGGGTGGAGTAGTATTAATATGTATCAATCAAAAAATGAATGCCATACAGCAAACAGCGGCCGAGTTGGCTACTTATAACCAACCACCAATCAAACCAACCACCAATCGAACAAACCACCAATTGAACAAACCACCAATCAAACTAACCACCAATCAAACAAACCG